GCTTTTCAGTATCTGATAGCTTCGAATTTTTCGTCTTAACTATTTTTTCTCTGCCTATATATTTTTTTTGAAGATCTACGCTAATCCTAAACTCAGACTGGCCGTTTTACAAGTTCGAGCTCCTCCATTCTCTGGTTGTAAGTGGAAGTATGTCAAAGAACTAATTCTTTTTCTGAAAACTGTCAAGTTCAAGACTGTCGTCTTGTTGTCCAGTAGTTTTGCTACTGTACTTAAGGTAAGCCCATTATGTTGTGTTTATGGAGATGAACTACATAGAGTTGTTAAATATCCCTACTTTCTATTGGACCCATTCTGTATTATGATGATTATAAACATAGAATAACTTTTCCGATAAAATTATGGCGTGCCAGTTTTTTCATGACAAAGTTTTAACAGCTGAAAAAAGTGTATCTCTTCAGCTTAAATTTTGCCAGGAGACTTGATGGTGTGACAATGACTGAGTTTTTTCCTAGAATGTTTGTAAGCCATAGGCCTGAGCTAACTTCAAACCATTCACGTAAATGAAAACGTCCAAACTGCCTTACAGTCAACACTCAAACTGCATATGTTAAAATGACACTTGTGTTGTATCTCACAGTCATCCAATGCACATAATAAATAACTCATGTAACAGTGTGGAGGGATCAACTGTTTTGTCCGAGATGTCACAGTTCCCTCTCATTCATAATGATTTCGTTTGATGAAGTGTATTTCTTTCTAGAATACTGTGTATTCATAGTCTATATGCCTCACATCAGTTGTCAAGGGACGCTATTTTATTTCTTTAACTCACGGAATATCCACATTGGGTTATAGGAGTTAATAAAAAGACAATTGCAGCGAAGAAAATTTTCTTTTCGACGAAGTCATCATCTAGGCTGTACATTCGTGTATTTATATCAAATGGATAGGAAAGTTCCAGAATAATTTCTGGTTAGGGGTCAAATTAATAAAAAATTACAATTAGGAATTAAAATGACATAACAAACAGGGGGATGGGTAAAACTCAAACAAAGTAGCATAATAACTAAGAAGATTGACATTGTGCAATTTGGGGTTAGAAATGTAGAAATAACAAAATATACAGGATGTTTGGATAAAAAACTAATATGATGAATAATTGTTTATGCAATCAGGGATTAAATATGTAGAAATAGTAAAATGACAAAATAAACAGGAAGAGTGGGTATGAAAATATGGTAGTGTAAACAGGGTTTAAGAAAACTTAAAATAACATGAATAAACAGGAAGTTTAGATAAGAAAGGCGATGAGATTGTCATTACTAAAAAATTTTACCTGTTTATGATGGCCATGGTAGGGAGAGGGGTTGGACGTAATTCTTTTGGATACAAAGTGTGGGTTTGAGCTTTTGGATAGCTAGCGCCTCAGCTATGCCCAGATGTCTTGATTTGATTCCCTTTGATAGGTTTGATTGAATTTTGTATATTACTTTGAAGGATTTTTCGAAAGGCGCTGAATGTCCTGAGTTGACCAGATGTTCTGTCACTGAACTGTATACACGTTTTCGGTCTCCTTTTACTAGCCAGGCTGGGTAGTGTTCGCGAGCGCGTTTTTCAAGTCGGCGCATGGTACGGCCGATGTACTCAGCTCCACAAGAGCAAGTAAACTGGTATATGCACGTTGAGGTGGCCCAATGCGACGGCTTGTCTTTCACGTTCTGGCTGAACAGTTTCTTGCAAGAAAACGTCAGTCGTAGGCTCGCGGCGAAGTATGTTTTCCTTAGAGATTTGCAGAGACGTTTGCGAAGGATTTCTGCTTCAATATCACCTTTGAATTCTAGATTAAGCAGAAGTGTTTTCTTTGGAACGGATTGGACTTGTTCTGAAGTCTTAGATTTGAGATTTCTGTCTATGAACCTGGGCGGGAAACCGTTTTCCATCAAGGTTTTCCGGAGATTACGCAGTTCTTCTTCAATCACTTCCTCGCTGCATATCTTCCGAATCCTCGAGGAAAGAGCGTATATCAGGTTCCTCTTTCTGCTTAGGGGCACGAAGCTTTGGAAGTTGATGAATTGTCCATTCCAAGTAGGCTTTTTGTATATGGATCTTTTCAGAGAGTTGTTGGCGTTTCTTGTCAGCTGGACGTCGAGGAAGTGGAACATTCCGTTGGATTCAGTCTCAAGTGTGAAGTCGATGTTTGGGTGGGCGTTATTGAAGATTTGAAGTAGGTTTTTTAAATCACAATTCTCATCACAAATAATGAAAGTATCATCGATGTATCTCTTGTAGAGATGGAGGTCGTTGATAGTTGATGATAAGGGGTTGTTTTCTAAGCTAGCCAAAAAGCAGTCGGCTAATAGGGGTCCTAAGGGAGAACCCATTGCTACCCCATCTACTTGCCTGTATATTTCCTTGTTGAAACTAAAGTATACGTTGAAGGTGCATCGTAGTAACAGTTCTTTCAGGTAATGGATCGGTATACCAACATCGATGCTATTGGATTGAATGTAGTCACAAAGGAAACAAACGGTTTCTGTCAATGGAACGTTGGTGAAGAGAGAGACAACATCCAGGGAGACCATTTTCTTTTCTGCCACATTGACATTCTTAATTGAATCAACAAAGTCGAATGTGTCACGGAGGCTGTGTCTTGAAAGCTTCTCTTTCACCGGCCCGAGAATCTCCACCAGCCATTTCGCGATTGTATGATATGGGGAGTCGATCATATCTAGCATTGGGCGGAGTGGGAGGTCTTGTTTGTGCACTTTAGGTAAGCCGTACATGCGCGGTGTTGTAGAACCAGATGGGCACAATTGTTCGTATAGTTTCGAACTGATAACTGATTCGTCTTTCATTTTTTTCAATATCTTTGTTAGCCGTAGCTCCGTCTGTTCGGTGGGATCTTTCTGTGGAGACTGTTTCTGAAACTTTTCCCTCATCAGATAGTATCACCAAGAGTTTGCTTAAGTAGTCTGATTTGTTCATCAAGACGATTCCGGAGCCTTTATCTGGTCGTGTGATGATCAAGTTTTCATTGTCCTTCAATTCTTTCAGTTGCTTTCGATGTTCTTTGGTTCTATGATAGACTCCCCATATCATACAATCGCGAAATGGCTGGTGGAGATTCTCGGGCCGGTGAAAGAGAAGCTTTCAAGACACAGCCTCCGTGACACATTCGACTTTGTTGATTCAATTAAGAATGTCAATGTGGCAGAAAAGAAAATGGTCTCCCTGGATGTTGTCTCTCTCTTCACCAACGTTCTATTGACAGAAACCGTTTGTTTCCTTTGTGACTACATTCAATCCAATAGCATCGATGTTGGTATACCGATCCATTACCTGAAAGAACTGTTACTACGATGCACCTTCAACGTATACTTTAGTTTCAACAAGGAAATATACAGGCAAGTAGATGGGGTAGCAATGGGTTCTCCCTTAGGACCCCTATTAGCCGACTGCTTTTTGGCTAGCTTAGAAAACAACCCCTTATCATCAACTATCAACGACCTCCATCTCTACAAGAGATACATCGATGATACTTTCATTATTTGTGATGAGAATTGTGATTTAAAAAACCTACTTCAAATCTTCAATAACGCCCACCCAAACATCGACTTCACACTTGAGACTGAATCCAACGGAATGTTCCACTTCCTCGACGTCCAGCTGACAAGAAACGCCAACAACTCTCTGAAAAGATCCATATACAAAAAGCCTACTTGGAATGGACAATTCATCAACTTCCAAAGCTTCGTGCCCCTAAGCAGAAAGAGGAACCTGATATACGCTCTTTCCTCGAGGATTCGGAAGATATGCAGCGAGGAAGTGATTGAAGAAGAACTGCGTAATCTCCGGAAAACCTTGATGGAAAACGGTTTCCCGCCCAGGTTCATAGACAGAAATCTCAAATCTAAGACTTCAGAACAAGTCCAATCCGTTCCAAAGAAAACACTTCTGCTTAATCTAGAATTCAAAGGTGATATTGAAGCAGAAATCCTTCGCAAACGTCTCTGCAAATCTCTAAGGAAAACATACTTCGCCGCGAGCCTACGACTGACGTTTTCTTGCAAGAAACTGTTCAGCCAGAACGTGAAAGACAAGCCGTCGCATTGGGCCACCTCAACGTGCATATACCAGTTTACTTGCTCTTGTGGAGCTGAGTACATCGGCCGTACCATGCGCCGACTTGAAAAACGCGCTCGCGAACACTACCCAGCCTGGCTAGTAAAAGGAGACCGAAAACGTGTATACAGTTCAGTGACAGAACATCTGGTCAACTCAGGACATTCAGCGCCTTTCGAAAAATCCTTCAAAGTAATATACAAAATTCAATCAAACCTATCAAAGGGAATCAAATCAAGACATCTGGGCATAGCTGAGGCGCTAGCTATCCAAAAGCTCAAACCCACACTTTGTATCCAAAAGAATTACGTCCAACCCCTCTCCCTACCATGGCCATCATAAACAGGTAAAATTTTTTAGTAATGACAATCTCATCGCCTTTCTTATCTAAACTTCCTGTTTATTCATGTTATTTTAAGTTTTCTTAAACCCTGTTTACACTACCATATTTTCATACCCACTCTTCCTGTTTATTTTGTCATTTTACTATTTCTACATATTTAATCCCTGATTGCATAAACAATTATTCATCATATTAGTTTTTTATCCAAACATCCTGTATATTTTGTTATTTCTACATTTCTAACCCCCAATTGCACAATGTCAATCTTCTTAGTTATTATGCTACTTTGTTTGAGTTTTACCCATCCCCCTGTTTGTTATGTCATTTTAATTCCTAATTGTAATTTTTTATTAATTTGACCCCTAACCAGAAATTATTCTGGAACTTTCCTATCCATTTGATATAAATACACGAATGTACAGCCTAGATGATGACTTCGTCGAAAAGAAAATTTTCTTCGCTGCAATTGTCTTTTTACTAACTCCTATTTCTTAAACCTCACCTATGCAAAAGCATTTTTGGTCGCCGTACAGATGCTTAGTTTTAATTGATAACATGTTACTTCCCTCTTCAGGATAAAGAACTAAGTGCCGCACCACTGCAGTACGCTGTCTCTACCTCATTCAATGCTTCCGATCGCAAAACTCTTGAAGAATTGGGTTGGTACCCCCTCAAAATACACGATGAACAACTAGATTACGAACTGTCTACTGTGAGTCACCTACCGGGTTGTGGGGTTGCCAGTTCTTTATTTGAAAAATTGAATAAGTGTTGTGAAACACCTGTATGTTTGCTGAATTTTTTCACATCTGAAGGCGACAACAGTGGTGATGCACTTTACGTTGTGCGTTATTTAGATAATTGGTTGCAGCTTACTGCACAGCTGAGTGGTAACAAGACAAGTTTTGGTTGGACTCCCCCACCCTCCTGGAACTTTTTATTTGGGGACGATCCTATTAACGCACTATACTAACTTTTTACACATTTTCAATTATATTTTTTTGAATACATAACCACTGTTACTTCCGATGAGCCATTTCAGGATAATAAAGCGATTTTACTGATTACTAATTTTATGTTTTATTTTCATAAATCCATAGAAGTGATTATCTTAATGTACATTATTCTATCTTTAAAGTTGCCAAATAATAACACCCTCATAGGAATTGGGTAGCAAACAATCTGATTAAGTGTTGCTCACATTGTTTCGAAGCTATTTTCATTGTTATCTAAAAAATGAATCCCTTAAACTAGATTTTGTGCGAGAAATGCTTGCATCCTCATACAAATTGATATCCTGTTCAAGATACGAAACAGAATCACCTATTGCTGCAGTCAGAGACGTTACGGCTAAGTTATACAGTCTTATTGCGTCCAGCCACCGAACATACACTCAAGTTCACGATAGCCAATCATCAAGCTCAGAGACCACATTTAAAGCTCAACTGGTAGAATTCAGTCAGCAATAACATTAAGAATTAGTCAATCGACACTCGTCACACCCTCGTGACCAATCTTATAAAGACGCATATCGTGTGTTCACTCGATAATTTCAATCTTGTAGATAGAAACGGTGGTCACGTTCGAAAGCCATTTATGTACATGCGAACCAATGCATAATATCTATCATATATGCCTAGCACATAAAAATCTAGTTAGATTTCAGATACTATCATTAAACCAGCTAAATTTAGTCCAATACCTAACAGCGTGTTGTTTTTTTTTCTTGTTCGCACAAGTCAGTAATGTGTTCTGACATTTTTGTTCATTTTTCAGTTAAATGGTCACTGGCTTAGCTACAATAAGACTCCGGTCATATGAGGAGAGTATCATTGATAGTGAAGTAACTGAACAGAAATTCTAGAATCATGCAGTTTCTTCACACTATTGTGTATGTAAAGTTCGCTGGTCTAAGTTTGCATGTGTGCTTCAGCTGCCAGAAGACCTGAAATTGTTAGGAGTGGGTAGTTAATAACGTCTTCAAGTTGCATGGTGTATAAATTCAGTATTATTTTCGTAATTGGAGTGTGCTGTAAGGTTTTCGCTGTCCATGAAGAACTTAATAAAATCCTGTATATGCTCTTAATCGAGGGAACTCTTGATCTTTCATCTGTCATTATACCACTAACATAGTGCATAAAATTCCCTGCGAATTTAAATGAGAGCATTTAGATAACTAAGGTTCCACTAAATGAAACGTGTAGTATTGCTTTTATCCTTGATAAGTTTCATCATATTGTACTGAGTTAATGCTCTCATTGTATTGTGTATGTAATATATCTTCTTGGCTCTAAAATTGGGTAAAGTAGAATATTACGTGTACATTTTATACTAGTAAACGTTTGAAGATCATTAGTACTAAGATTTACTATAGTTAAGTACCCAGGAACACTACCTAAAAATGCGTAATCCATGTGAAACATTATTTGATTATGATAAAGGAAAAACACAATTTTTGTTCAGTGAACAAGCATTTCTTTTCAGCGACTTCATTTTCAGGCTGTACAGTCTTATTTACTCGATCAGTTCGCATATCATAAGAGTAAACATAATTAACGTGACGTTTGAGAGGGTAGAGTTGAAGTGGGTGGATTATGAAATTCTAAAAGAGTGAATTGATATTAAAATTGTAAAAGTAGGTTGTACTGTCCAAAAAATTCAAAATAAGATGATGTTAACGGTATGAAAACCGAGGTAAAGTGAAGTAGAATGAATTTAAATGATAAAATAGTTTTTACTCATGTATAGCTAGGGCTTCGGTTATGCATCAGTGGAGAAAACAAACTTTTGAAGTAACTGAATTTGAACCTGTAGATAAGTCTACAAGGTTCGGGGCTGAATGACGTGTTTCCAGAAAGTCTCCACAAGATAAGAGACTTCGACATCCTTTGCTAACATTTCATCAACCTAACCAGTTAGTGTTCCATTACGCTTTTCCAGAGAACACGCTTATAAAATCCAATGCCATCAGCTCCACAGGAGCGTGTAAGAGATTAGAGGCACACACACAAACTGTAGTTTCTCCTTGATACGTTATCGAATCATAATTCGGTTGGAAAATGTTAATCGTGAATCAGTAGTATAAAAAGGGTATTAAATACATTTGTTGAGACGACTTTCAATCACTTCAGCAGTAGTATCACCTTTAAACGCGAAACTCAGAAACAGTATCTTGTTTAGTGCTATGTTTTGGCCAGAATGAGTTTCTTCATGTTTCATTCAATAAAGCCTCTAGGATATCCTCTACTTAAGAGTATTGCACGAAGGTTTCCTAGTTCGATAGTATCCGTAGAGCAAATTCTGGAGCACGAACAACAGATTAGATTTTCCTCTCTATCTAGAGGTACCCCGCCAGTGAGGTAAGTGTACTGCCCAGTACAGGCAGAATTTCTGTAGATTGAAAAGGTCAATCTAGCCTGCCTTCTGTTTCGCATAACATCTAAAAAGTGGAATTCTACTCTTCGATAGGTCTTCATAATAGTTGCAGTGTTTTAAATATTTTTGCTGAATATGACTAGCTTTCTATATGTTTGTGTTTGGCTTCTTATTCTCTGCTAATGAATCTTCAATGTTGATTAAAATATATGCACATTGATCAACTCTTCACTGCTTTCAAGTAATCTCAGTTTTACAAAATAGTGAAAAGTGTGCACAACACTTTGGAACGTGTGACTTTAGTAATGTTTGTAGAATGGTGGTCATCGTCATTTCTGAAAGGAATTCTAATTAATTTCTTTAAACAATCTACCCTGAGAAAAACAGCCGTGAATCATTAAGGTTTTATAGGCGTACAGCAGAACTATTTTCAGTGAGGTAGCATATGCATAATTCGTTACTATCTTAATATAACTCAGATTACTCCTTCATTTAGAACAGCGACTGTTGATGAACGCGTTAAGAGAATCACTGAATTTTAAACAAGTCACTATTTTTTCCTTCCTACCTAAGATAATCATCTTTACGACTATTGTTAGACAGAAGACTTGTCGGCGAAAATTGATTTTAAGATTTTAGTATCCATTACATACTAATGAACGTAAGTCAACGCAATAAGGAATTAATCCAGTTATCTGCCATACCGCGTTATCTTATATACAGGCAACAATTTTCTCTAGTTCTAACGGCAAAGACCATTACACCTTCACAATTAAATCTATATAACATTTCCATACTAACTTTTCCGATGATGATAAAAATGCTGTGATGACAAATGTTGTTTTGGTGGTACCTTAAAGTCTAAGAGCATTTTAAACATGAGAGTATGAACGTGTCAAACCGTATACACAATCCTAATCTACCAATACAGATGAGAATTCAACCAAACACTGAAAGCCACTCAGTCCGAAATTACCAGAATTAATAAGTATTTAGTCGAAAGAATAAAGTTAATTCACGAGAAATATTAGATCCCTGCATCAATCCAGAAAAGCATTTGAAGAGGTTGGAAAAGTCCGCGTACTGTAACTGTTAAGCACTAACGCTTGACGCTAGTGGTCTATATCTACCAAAGAAACTGTAATGAAATTTCATCTCGAAATGCGTTATTTGTGCATGACCAATTCACTGCATATCTATTTCCCTTGTTTATTACGTTCAGGGATATTTGGCAACATTTTCGACCTTGTTTCCTTTTCCTTCATTACTATTTTTAGTTGGATTTATTTTGGAAATAATCCTGTTTTTAATTGTATCATTTTGAACAACAGTTTTTGCAGTATGGAATGGTACCACCATTTATTCCGTCGGTTTCTCTTCGACTGAGTAGAATCTAGAAATTTTAACATATTTCAAAAGGTGATATGCCAGTTAACAGAAGACTTCAAAATTGATAAACAGTGCTCAGAAATTACATTTATATGTATCTTATGAACAGAAGGTTCGAGTTTAAACAAAATAAAGTTAGAGAATTGTCATAAATGTTTGGATACGATAGAAAACGAACCGCACAATAAATATAACAGGTTAATGAAGTGATAGGTAACTAAACGGTTGCTGAGTGATGTGATGAGTTCAACTCAAATCATAGAAATGAAATCATAATATGGTAAGAATGGGGAAGGTTAAAGCTAAGGATTACATAACCAAATTTAAGGAAGAGTGAGGACTTCGGGTTACCAGGGCACTGAAACACTTATAGGTGCTTCTTTTAAACACATGCATAGTGTTTGACAACGACTTCTGCAAACTAGTGAGAAACTGAATTATATGGTTTATTGATATTCTCAAGTAATTTCAGGCTATCCATCACAGGACCCATATCGATGAGATGTCTAGCAATAGCACCCCTGAAAGCGTTTTTGCCCTGAGACATAGGCCTTTTGTTACATATTCAAAGAATCAAAGTAGAGTGATCTTGCTGTTCTTCCAATGTAACTGCAAATTTGTATGCATAGTTATAGTTAACATGGAAAGGCTATCTGTCGATTTTTGATTCCATCAAAGTGAATATTGCTGGATAAACGATAATAAGCCTGGATGTAATGTAGGTTCTGGCTAGTAAAGTATTCAGTCGTATGCAGAGAATTCCTGCAGTCAGGTTGTGCGAATATAGGCTTCCTGTTAACTGATTCGTTTTGCGCTTAAATCTCCAGATCTTTCATGCTTGTCAGCTAATTTCTGAGGGTAGCGACTACTTTTCAAAATCTCAAGATTCAGAAATTCCTCCTTTGACTTTGCATAGCAGAGTTTTAACCAATGCCCGTTTTTAGCTAATCAGACGAAACTACTGAGATTTAAGTATCGTGCTGTACACGTAAACTTCCGCTGAATAGATCTTTGAGAACTGCCATCTCGCAAGCATTCCATAGCGATATTAAGAAAACGAAACTTCTCCTTACTTTCAAATGCAATAGAAAAGTTAATATTTTTATTTGCCTCACTGAATATTCTAAGTAGATATGAAGCATGACTTTCATTGTCGCATACTACGAATGTATCATCGACATATAGACAATAAAGTGTTTCTTCTATCCC